TACGTGACCGCTAGCGACACAGCTATGTTAGCATAATATAAACAAGCTAACTTTTTTTCCACTCGATAAAAGTTAACGTGAGTGTTCTCGGTGGTCAGGAACAAATGTAATCACATGGCAGGATGCTGTAAAAGGACCAAACTTCAGCCAGGAGAACAACTGATATAATCCATCCACAACACGAGGTTAGTCATTCATATACTGCTGCATGGGCTGGGTTGTAGTTACATCCTAAGGTTTTAAAAACTGAGCTTAAATAAATGATTAGCGGTAATAAAAGCCGAGGGAGGTCAACAGTGATCACTGACTGTTTTAGGAGCTTTTTGAGATTAAATAGAAGAAAATACAAAACATTAAACATGTTAACAACACAAAAGACATATTAAATGCAGACTACTTTAGGCCCGGAAGTAGGATTCGTCACGTCATCACCTAACAACTGGATAGCGCTTTTTTATGTCTGTTATACTACAGTTAGACCACTCCCACTGTCAGCCTGTAACATTAAAAATGAACTTGTATAAATTAGGCCTTTGTGTATTCTTAATAGAAACTTTTACAAGTTTTCCATCAACATTCAGACATTTTATGTAATAGAAAAATGGACTGCCTTGATTTATGTGACCTGCATTATCAGTCTTGTTTTATGAGATACAGAAAATCCCAACAAATCCCAACAAGCATGAGTTTAGTTTAATAAGCTGCTTACACAGTTATTTGCCAGTGACAGACTTAAACTGGTACTAGGACAATCAAAAACAGGTATAAAATGGTAAAGTTGCATACCTTGTCAAATTACTCTCAAGTGCACTATTACTATGCATATGTTTGTCATGTACCCATGCGTACTCCTATTGAAGCACTGGTTCCTATGTTTAATTTTGTCTAATGTCAGACTGCTAGAGTGAACTAATATTGTAGTAAAGCTTATCATCTTCTAACATACATCGTACCAACTTACTGAACCACAGCATGACACAAACAAGCATGTAAACAGTTTCAGTGAGGGCATTCACACTGACACTGACCAGAAAGTTGACATTTTATATGGTTCTTCCAGCTGCAGTGAATGCTTTTGTAAAAACTGCAGTTAAACATACACATTTACTTCATATTGTATAGAGCCTTTAATGGTAAAATGTATACATGTTTAGCAATAGTCTAAATTTTAGATAGCTGGAACACAGGAATGTCAACAATTTAAAAAATTATCTAACAATTTGCAAAGTATTTTTCTAGGGTTTCTGCTCTGACACTGATAATCTAAGATAATCAACAAACTCGGCTTGGATTTGTTTTTTCTACTACAAGGAAAGTTTCTGTAATGTGTAAAAAAAACCCAGCCTCCTCATGACATTTTTGCACCTGATGGACTGGGACAAATCATGGCACACACTCTGGCATGCATAATCATTGATACTGTGCCATTAGTTTTCTTTTAAAGTAGTGATTTTTGGTGGAAAGCCAATACCTGAAGATAGAACCATTTTGAAAGAGTAAAAAAAAGAAAAAAATAAATATAGAAAGAAAATTAACCAAATCATGATTTTTATTTAGTGATAACATACAACCTTTCCCCCCTGCTTGAGTAATATAACAGTCAGTGGTATGACAACAATTGGAAAAAATTATTTAGAATTTCAGGAGCAGAATCACACCTGAAATACACCCTTTCTGGTTCTTTGGCTATATATGACCCTCCTGTACTACAAGCTGTTTATTCTCATTTTTGTTTGATATGTGGAGCACCTTCACATCCTGCTTCATCCAGCTCCAGCCGCTCCTCCAAAAATTCAAACCAACACAATCTTTTGCGTGCATTCATTTGCCACCTGGCATAGATAGTAAGGGTAGACTCGTCATTCAACTAGGAGACTGCACAGTTTGCAATTATTTCAATGACTTCACAAGTTCCATGTCTATGCCGCTACCTGGACTCCTGCTCATTCTACAGACACTGTCATTCCTGCCCAGCAAGCCCACACAACCCCACTGACCCTCAACATCATCTGGTTCCAGGTTTCTCTGGCCATGGGAAAACCCAGTGGCATTAATTTCCTCCTCCAAAAGCATTTTCTTGCTCCTCTTGCAAACAAATGGCTACCCCCCCCCCCC